ATCACACTTGATTTACACGAAAGTAGTGACCTACTTCCTAACATAGGCCTCATGCTCTCTAAGGTTTGCATATTAAGACACTGGAGGAGGGTAGTAGTTAGGCCGAGACTATTGTTGTTTTCCAAGCACTTTATGTGTGCAAGAAGTACTCAATAAGTGACAGTTTGTACATACTAGATGTGACAGACAAGTTAGCTGGTGAAATTGACAACCTGTATCAGCTGGACTCCAAATGTTAAACCATCATCCATACATAGATCCAACAACGCCATCGAAGTGCTTCGAGTCACCACATAAAACGACATCACCGGTCCATAAAACATGCGGTTAACGATGGGTGAGATAGAGGCAGATACAGATTGATGGAAAATTCTTGAAATGACTATACTCAGTGATAAGAAACGACATGGACTGTCTTATCTATCTTATTATTGAGTCGTTTCCTTTCACTGTTTGAATCAAAACGTCATCCAGTACAATTCATCAAAGATATCAATACTGCTTTGGTTAGTGAAACTGTCCTGGCAATCAGTGGAGTGTAACATATCTCCAAATACTAGTTGGAAACAGCAGTTGAATAGACAAAAACATAGGTTGGATTCATTCTATAAATGTTTATCAAAAAGATTCGAGACTTAACAACTGGCAAAAAGTCTAAATAATCACACTGCTATCGGCACCATGAAAAGTTTTCAACAGAGTTTTGCTCAACTGGCCACAGATTCAACCGACTTCCAACTTCAGGATCAACAGACGAGATTTCGTTAGCATCGATCATGCACAGACCGAATAGACATGCTACTTATCATTGATGAACAATCAATTGTTGCTACCTTGAGGTGGTGGTCGGACAAACCCAAGGTCCGTGGGCGAAGTCGTACTGCTGACTGTACAGAGATGTGACAGCAGTAGTGTTTCCTTCAGACAACAAGCAAGATAGTGATGCTATATCCCCACAACGAAGGGTAGGGTTAGAAAAGGTCGACCCAAAGATGCACATCTTGCCTTATCCAACAAATTTCGGTCCCCGGTGTTAAGGTTCCGATAAGTACGAAGGTAACACAAAAATTGCTCAGAAAAAGGTCGTGTATGGCCGACATCAACCAGTTGTCCCTTGCGCACAAAATTTTCTTTTCAGGTACCACCCGGATGAACCTGTACAATTATGTTCTACTATGATATTAGTACTGTTCTAATAGTATACCTTATCATCAAATTGCAGATTTGTCATGATATAACTGCCTAATATATAAGATCTTACGTGGAATTCACATCACTGTCTACACTAACGCATCGTACCGTAGCAATTACCAATATATGTTGGAGAACACATCCAGGCTGAAGATAAAAAATATATTTAATATGAGTAACAACAAGTTGTACAAAGCGACCATTCCAGCGAGGTTGAGCCATGCCATCCGATCAATTCGAATTAACACAGCTCGTTCTTCCCACACTTTCCATCGTTGGGTTGTTCTCCGTGTTACCTGTCGAATATCTGTTTTCCTAGTTCTCTCGTGTTCAGCTTTGGGGATTGTGTGGTTAGGTCCTAGTGCCGATACAAACCTTCGACGGTGTGTTCAACAGGGAAGTGATAATCGCCCTCATACCTCTAACAGCACTCAAGACCACTGTATTCATAATCAACCTCCCTCTTCAATTCCTATTATTCTTCCTACATCAACTTCAAACTCTAAACTTCCTCTGTTGACTTCCTCCTCCTCAAGTGTCACCATAGCCAACGATTCTAGCGCGCAAAACACTGTCTCAGGTCTACTGAAACCTCTCTCCACACTACATATTGGGGCCTTCAACGTACGCACCCTATGTCAAATCGGTCAGCAGACCTCCTTGACTAGATCTCTAGAACCTTGTACCACTAAAGTATGCGATGTATCCAAAACGTGCATACAGGATCCTAGTGTGGTCATTCACTTGACCTCACCTCGGCAAAACGGAGGGCCGACGAGATACACCCTCCGTGTACCTGGTGACCCGATGGCTAGTTTTAGTGGACTGGTAGACATAGCACTAAGTACGAGGATGGAACAAGCACTATTATAATGGATCACCGTTAGCAGTCCCCTATGTGCTGTTCGGCTGAACGGCTCCGTAAGAACTCGGAAGTATAGGGGCACAGGTCGATGCCTTTTCGTCGTTTTTGCCTACGCTCCCACTAACTGCAGCTCGGATGAAGTGAAAGATGAATTTTACAGAAAGCTCTCTGAACTTCCTCAGAAAGCTAAACGCTCAGACAGAGTACTCGTAGCAGGTGACTTTAATGCCCAGATAGGTAGTTTAAACCGTACAGAAAGGCATTTAGGTGAGTATTTTAGTATTCCGGCACAACGAACAGATAATGGTGATCGTCTGCTGCAACTGTGCTCAGACAATCCTTTATTTTTAGCAAACACAAATTTTAAGCATAAGGAGAGAGATCGTCTAACATGGAGACCCCCTACACTAAACCAACGATGGACTCAAATAGGCCATATTGTCATCAGTCATTGTTGGAGAGGGTCGGTAGAAGATTGTCGCTCATTCTGGAGTACCTGCTTGGACACCTAAACTCGTAAACTGCAAACACGAGAAAACCAGGCTGGCTTCAGACCTGGTCTTGGCTGCATCGACCATATATTCACCATTCGTTAGGTTCTAGAACATAGGCATACTTATCGGCGTCCGACAGTGGTGGTCATTCTTGATTTAAAAGCAACGTTTGACTCGGTAGACCGCGAGATTCTGTGGCAGTGTCTATCATTGAAAGGCGTATTTCAGAAGTTCATAAACCTTGTGAAGGCTATTTACTCGGACACTACTAGGCGAGTCGGAACTTATGGCGAACCTCGTGTGGCGTCCGTCAAGGTTGCCCACTTTCTCCATGTTTGTTTAACTTCATCATAGGCCTGTAGAATTATGGTCCACTATGATATTGGTACTGCTCTAATAACAGACCTAATCCTAAAATTGTATATCTGTCATGATGTAACTGCGTAATATGTAAGATATTACGTGGATGTCACATCGTTATCTACCCCGACTCATTCGGATCGTAACAATCACCAATACATGGTGGAGAGCAATCTTAGGCTAGAGATAGAACAGTAGATATAATATGAATGAAGGATATAAGATAACATCCAACAGGGACCACGCTTGCAAGGTCTAGCTATGCCATTCGACCAATTTGAATTAATCCAATCCCTTGTTCCCGCCTTATCCATCGTTCGGTTTTTCCTCGCATCAAATAGTAAATATCCATTTTCCCAGCTGTCTCGTATTCAGCTTTAAAGATTGTGCGTTTAGGGCCCGATGCCACTACATGCCTACTGATGGAAATAACGTTCCCGTTGCCCCATGTTTTAAGAAATTGATCTCCTACCAGGAAGTCCATTTATCGACTGAGAATACTCAGATGTTTGGTGAGGTCGTTGATAAAATGCAGTCTTTTGGTAGCACTGTATAACAATACCAGAACTTCTGGGAGGCGTTTCAGTCCCCTCTTAATACAAGTTGGTGCTTCAGGGCTGGTCTGCGTCAACACCTGAACCAAGGATACAGAGCAAAGTACTCGAACGCGCCGATAACTTCACATAACTTGGAAGTCTGGTCAGCCCAATTGGATTGATGTCCGACGAAATTTCTGCATGGATTAAGACCTCGTTTGGCTTTTGCTAACCTACGTCACCTATGGAGAAAGTGAGATATCTGTCTATGAATTAAGGGACGAGTATACAACGTGACAGTTCGTCCTGTTTTAATTTACGACTGCGGAACGTGACCATTAAGGGCCGAAGATACTCGTAAGTTACTAGCATTTGATTACAAAACAAAACGTGGCATGTGCTTGAAGTCACTAATTTCTAGTCTTAGCCATGTTGGTAGATGCAAACTACTTGTTTAGGATGTGCACGACTATTGTGACCAGTGGTAGGAGACTGGATCGATCACAGTTGCGTAAGTGTATAAACTTTGTCTTAAACCATGAGCTTGAAACCACTCTAGATATATATTTTTACGAACTAATTCTTTATTCCTGTGTTATGTCTGTTAGCGAGAAATAGATTGAATTAAAGTACGTCCCGTGAAAGATCGTGTTGGTGCACGCCTATTGGCAATTACTTATCCAATCAGTGCTAGTCGGTACTTGGAGAAGACTCTAGAAACTTCCCACATGAAAACCATAAATATACTAACGTTTCTTTATTGCGTTTCCTACTTCCATTTACCCTCATTATTTGAAATATAATTTCGTCCCTGTTCAACCGTGTTCTGATTTGGGGACTTGTCGAGTGAGTTGGTGTCAAAGAATACTAAATAATAGGAATAGCTGGGTCGTAATAAGAGAAATTATAACCCTATCATTATATGCGATTTCTCTTTTATATATTAATACTATTGACATAACTGATTCCAAAAATATGGTGTTCATCTTGTTATGCTAATGAGGTGTGGCATCTTGGACGGGCGCACAAACGTACCTGGTCTTACGTTGTAGCTTACTGGCTGACAATTGAATGGAACTCGTCACTATACATCAACTTCCTTCATTAGAAAAAAGCATTTGACAACGTGGATAGGAAAATATTATGGAAACTTCTTCGACATTATGGAGTGGGTAGCTGAGAAAATAGTCAACATCTCACTGCAAAGTCGTGCATGAAGGACAGCTGACAAATGCATTCCAAGTAAGGACCAGAGTCAGACAAGGCTGCTTACTCTCCCCTTTCTCTTCCTTCTGGTGGTTGACTGGATTATGAAGACCACATGTGACGGGAAGCATGGAATACAATCGACAGCTTGCATGCAACTAAAAGATTCCGACTTTGCAGATCACCTAGCTCTTCTATCTCATACACACCGACGAATGCAGATGAAGACAACCAATGTAGCAGTAGCCTCTGCATCAATAGGCCTCAACATATACATGGAAAAAGCAACATCCTCAAATACAACACGGAGAACACCGACCCAACCACATTTGATGGAAAACTCGAAGAGGTGGACAATTTCAATTATCTGTTTCAGCATCATCGATAAACATAAAGAATCTGATGCAGACGTAAAGGCGAGGATTGTTAAAACAAAGACAAGATTCCTACTGTTCAAGAACATATGGACCTCAAAATAACTATCAACCAATATCAAGTCACAATCTTTAATACGAACATTAAGACAGTCCTACTGTACTGAGCTGAAAGTTGGAGAATTACTTCAATCATCATCAAAAAAGTACAGGTATTTGCAAACAATTATATACACAAGATACTCAATGCCCGTTGACCAAATACCATAAGCAACAGCCTACTGGGGGAGAGGAAAAACTAGCTTCCATTTGAAGAGGAAATTGGGAAAAGATGCTGGAAGTGGATAGGACATATGTTACGGAAATCACCAAACTGCACCACGAGGCAAGCGCTAACTTGGAATCCTGAAGAGAAACAGAAAAGATGAAGGCCAAAGGACACACTGCGTCGGGAATTGGAAGCAGATATATAAGGGAGAAATTACAGCTGGGAAGGATTTTCCAGGACAGAGGTCGATGGAAAATGCTGGTGAGCAGCCTATGCTTCTCCACGAGGATTGATAGATGTAAGTAATTATTTACTTTTTGAAATCGCAAAAGACTTCTTTAAAACTATCTCCCACCCGTCGTATTCGAAAAGGACGTATTCTACACAGTACCAGAGACAAGCACAAGCTTACAGGAAATAATTAAAGAGAACAAAGTTACACGGGGTAGTCTGAAGTGTCGAGGATAAAAATGATCTTTCGTAAACAAATCTGGTACAAATATTTAGTTGGAATTAAGAATGAAAGGTATTTTTAAAAATTAGTTCAATCAAGATTCATACACCATAAGAAAATAACAAAAGAATGTATGTACAGAAATAAACATGTAAGGAAATGATAACTAATCCTCATGTAACACAAAGATTTCGAGAAGAAAGCAATAATTACTTACAAATCTATATACATCTGTTCCGATTTTGACACCAAAAATTGTCTGAACATGTAGGTCTCCTAATTAAGCGTTCCACGGCAAGATGATGATCCACATTGACATGGTATCTTATCTTCTTCATAAGGAAATTTGTAGTCATACGTAATTTCTTCCATAACATTAATGTCTCTTTTGGAATATATAACAATTTTTTTCTTACTTTCAACCATTATTATCTTGGCATAGCAGTTTGGCTAAGAAATAAGAAGTATGATATGAGAAAAATATTTAATATCTATACAAGAAATTTGCACAAATTAAAAAATACTTTAATTCATTCATTCTTAAAGTAGTCAGAATGTTCCCAATAGCGTGTGATATCCATCTGTATGTAGATCTCTAGTTAGCGAAAATGATTTATTCGACAATAATCTATCAACAAAACGACGGAAATATCGATGTCACCTACATCAGGTTCATGTTGATCGATATTTTAATATTGAATCCATAAACATACGTACTATACTTAGCCTTTAAAAGTCGAAATTCTACAAAAGACGTATTGACGACCAAGAAGAGGGACTGATTTTCTACATGATCGATTTTAATTTGAGTTCAACCAGGTATTTTCGGTAAGATGAACTACAAGTGAATTTGAAAAGATGTTCTAAGGGTTCGGCCCGGGATAATGGAGATTATTAAGAAAGGTAATCAAAGCAATAATGTAATTTATTTGTCAAGTGCAGGTTTATGTACTCAGCTTTGAGCCGCAAGTTCTGTGTGAGACTATGATACTACTTAGATACTCAAACTAAAGGTGGAATAGAGTTCGAACCTGAAACTTACAGGAAAATAGTCAACAGAGGCAAGAAATCAACGTCACAAGTCGTCAACTAGTGAGTATATGTATGAAAGAAAAACTAAATAGCAAGCAAGCATTTTTAATTATTTTCAATCCATCGACCTAAGAAACCAGGTACATAGTCCGTACTTAGAAATAGAATATCTAAAACTTTCCGAATGACTCAACAAAATTGGATGTACATCAATAGGTAGTTTACTGGACATATGTTTTTCAAAAAGTCTGATATAAAAAACATGAGCGCAAATAGAATACTAATACAAATTAGTTACTGGAAGGTAAATTCATGGATGTCAAAAATTACAATCTTTTTTTTGTTAGATTTCGTGTAATTACTTTCTTTTATAAATTTTAATAAAGCCAAAACAACCATTCAGGCAAAATAATATGAATTCATTATATTTCATGGTTTCTTATCAGCTGCTCACAATCAAATATGATATTAAAGTATAACATTACGGTATGATATATAATGTGAAGTAAATGAAATCGACAAAAAAAAGAATTAAAATAACAAGGATTATCAATAATGACTACGTGTAGATATCTATGCGAAAACAGGTGTGCGGTCATTTAAAGACGGAATTCACAAAACATGAGGGCGATGCGGAGCGTGAGTCAGTAATCAAATAAAGTCCAGAAACAGACAAGATAGATCTTGTAATAACCGTAAACGTTGTGAAGAGTTTATATAAAATTCAAATTACTTGAAAATAAATATAAAAGACAGTTAGTTGGTAAGATGGATTGCGCAATAACTTAACAAGATTTGAGTTCACATAAGTTTAGAAAATTGACTGAATGAAAAAAGAAGCCGATGAATGAGATGATTACTTTGGACTAAAAATAAGAATTAGTCTAACGAAGATGATATTTTAAAAAAATGAACAAAAAAATAATACTCACAGGTGAAATTAGTCGAAGCTATGAATCCATCAATACGATGATAGGTTGATAACTGTCACTTTCTGGACACCTAAATCACGTTTAAGTTACTTTGTTTTTATTGCTTCGGTAAGCGTTTTAGTGTCTGCTGATAATTTCGAATGATTTAGGAATTGCAATGGTATGCTCGGTATTAGTTAAATGCCGAGTTAATGCACTTATTTAAAGCCGTTGCGCCTCTTAATCTCAAATTCTTTGAAATGTGTTCAGAAATACGAACATGTACCTTTCTTTCTGTTTTTCTAGTGTATGTGCTTTGGCACGTACTTACAAATAGGTAAATCCAGGTGTAAATTTTTCACAACTCTTATAACTAGCATGGGACCTATCTTATCTGTTTCCAGACTTCATTTAATTACTGGCTCACACCCCGCCTTTATATATATATATATATATATATATATATATATATATATATATATAGTTATTATCAGTATTCTATGTTATTTCAATTCTTTCCGTCATCAATGTCAGTTGATTCACATTATATACCATACTTTAATATCATATATGGTTATGTGCAGCTGATGAGAAACCATGAAATATAGTGAATTCATATTAGTTTATTAGGGTTTGTGTTTTAATGTGGATGAGGAACAAAAACGAAATTATCTTTATTTAGTAGAAATTGCCTAGCAAAACACAAAAAGCTTGTTTTGTTTCATATTAAAAAAGAAACACAATCGATATCAGTAACCATCACGGTGCGAGTTTCGCCCCCCCCCCGAACGGTTGAATATGAAATTGATTTGGATATTTATAAACTCAGATTTATCGATTTCAGTTATTTATAAAGATGACTACATCTGCACTGTAAATGACCCAATATTTAGCATACTTGATAACAGAGAAAATAGTTAAATGACCATTTTGTTGCTGAATGAGTGATATCCGTAAATGATAATATTCACCTTAAAAGTACTATTAAAAAAGTTAAATGTAAGCACCAATTTTACCTTCAGTTGTACAAGGATAAGGCAAGAAATTACTCAATACAAATGTGTCATCTTAATATTTAGAACAAACATTAGTCACATAAATGAACAAAATATTTAAAACAGTCTTAAGAATCGAAAAATTAGCTTTTATAATTCCAATATACTAGACAATATGTAGTAAAGTGTTGGTAGTGAAAAATATTGTTAGTTGGGTGATTGCAGTCAACTTCAAGGAAGCTTTTAACCAGTTCTTGTGAGTCGTGCGTTAAACTATCAATTAATTTATGTTGACATGAATTTTCAATAGTAGCAGCTAGAAATATGACTTCCAGAGCATTTGAAAACATAACCTTTCGAATCAACCAGAGAAAATGAACTTAGACCATTATTATCTCACCACTAAAAGTTGAAAAAAAAGTCATTTATATCAGATATGACGAAATCACTGAACGAAAGATACTTTACATAAGATGCTGAGAAATTACGAGTTCACCTAAGCTGCGAACGGAACGAGCTATTCCGACGCGCTGCTGCCCCGCTAACTAGAGAAAGAAGTCCAAGTTTGAAAGAGGGGAATGTATTCCACAAGCACTCAGAAGCACGAACAACAACAATAAGCACAACGCAAGCGTATATATACAGCACAAAAATGTCCTTGGGAAGCGGTACAAAATAGCATACTAAAAGAGACAACGAAGCAATATCATTTAAGGTTCTCCCAAGTGGGAAATAGGACATGAAGGTGAAAATGGGTGCTTCTGGTGCGAGAACAAGAGATTGAAATTCATAAAATATAATTGAAAAAATAAGGCATTTACCAAGTGAGTTCTAGGGATCTAACATCCCTAACAAAAGGGTAACAAAACAGGTATTACACAAGATATTCAAAACAGATATGATGCACTTTTACTAGCACAAAACGTCTATGTACAGTATTTGCCAGACTAAAACTAAAGTTTAACTATAGGGCATATGGTTACATTATAATGAATTAATCGATTTTTCACTCTAGGACATGATACAGTTTTTTAACTTCTGTCTAGTAAAAGAATATAAACCGATGAATTCAGAGTATGGATAGATTGGAAAACAACATAAACCGTGCGAATTCATCTATTCTTAATGTCTTCGTTATTTCAAATAATTTATTTACTGTACCACTACACTGCTTTTCAAGATATATTTTGGGAACTTCTAATTTCTATTAATAATGTTACAGAACCGTTTGGAAGCAAAATACGTACGGTAAACCCTATGTTATTTTATTTATTTAGTCAATGTTGAAGTAACTGAAAACACTAAACAGACGAATAACCATAGAAAGTAAAGAGAAAGCAAGACAAGTTTATGAGAAATAGTGAATCCCATATTACATAAAATGAGTATTAGACTATGTCAATATTCAATAAAATAGCGTCAGTGTTAGAGGACGAATCATCATATAAAGTCTAGTCATTAAATAGCCAAGCTAGAAAATGGCGAATAATTTTCTATTAAGTTTCAAAACATATATTTATAAGATTGAATTGTAAGATGAACTGGAATTTGAAAATGAGCGCTCCTACATACTAAATAAACTATACAATAAAAAAGTAAAACATGTTATTGTGGAAATACACAACAGAAAATGTCTTATTAACCAAATAAGGCTTCCCAACGTTCGAGTGGGCATGTATAGTGATCACAATAAAATAATTCAGTATAACTTGTTCGGGATTTCAAAAACAAAACATTGGAACAGTCAAAAGAAAATATCACTCATATATCGCACAATTCCTCGAGTAGTATATGAGTAGGCAGAACAACAAAACTTAATCGCTATCCTGACAGATACATCAGTAAAAGAATGTACTGAGTATTTGATTCCAAATTTTTATTGATGATCACTACACTGGGATAGTACGTTTATGTATATGCACTATACGATTCATCAGAAGACGAATGGGAAAAATTTAGCCAGTGTCGATTACTTTGTTAATAATTAACATGATAGAATATACAGTTACATTAAACGTAAACAAACAGTATTGAATATCTCTACATAAACCAGTTATGACATTTTATAAATAAGTAGTGGGTAAAATAACCTAATCTTCATATCAAGCATACCTGACAACTGTGGTTGATAAACCGAGCATTGTTGCCGCACATTGTGGCATCAATTACAAACTCATCATCAATTCGGAAAAGATAAGAGCCACCGATTCCTTTGGCTTCATATTGACGTTCACGTAGTTCAGCGACACCCTTACGAACCACATGACCAACATATTCAATCACCATTTCTTCGGCAGCTATCGGTTCCAAAGCTATCAAGCCCCATGCATGGATAGGCGATTTGGCGAATATGAGCTGCTTTTTACGAAACTGAAATATGAAGCGGAACAGCATGAAAAATAAATTTACAATAACAGATTCCGACGATAACTGAGTACTGTAGAAGTAATTAATGCACGAGAGCGAAGGATACACATATAAGAAACTTGAAATATTTGCCTATTTTACTAGATTTAAATTTAAAAGTCTTTTTATCAGGCAGAAAATAAGTGGTCAATAAACAAAAGAAAAACTAAGAGATCATCGAACAAAAACATTTTAATGAACACCAGTAAATTGAATTGTTTAGTATAAAGAACTCAATGGTCACAGAATAACATTACCTTTAACTGATTAAATTTAAGCAAGTCGCCAGTTTCAATATCTTGAAATTCAGCTAACAATCGACGTTGAACAGACCGAGCCTCTCGAAATTGAGTGAGTTGTTTTTTCTTGGCTTCAGATGCTTGTTCGGTTAAACGTTCCTCAATATTCTCGCCAATAGCTTAATGAATAAGAATTTACAAAAATAGAAAATACGATTTGATATAAATATGGTTCATAAAATGAATCGAGATTCAGTTCTAACTATGACCTATCATACAGATAAAAGGATACTATGATCTCCAGAAAAGTGATTTGATAAAAAAAATCGTACTAATACAACCAACACTGTATTAGATAAAGGAAACAGTAGATAAGTTTGAAGGGACCTAAAATCAATGATTAAGTTTTGTATGGTTTAAAACAGTTGAAGCGATGTAAATATAGGCACTATTAACGGTGTACAAAATTTTGGGTAGCTCTATCACATAGTATTATCTCACATGTATTTTTTTCGTTCTTACACAAGTTGATCTTACTTTGCTTTAATTTTCCTAATTTTAGCAATCAGAAGAGTCGCCCTACAATAATTGTCACTACTTTCCCCTAGTTTTCAGTCTAAAAACGCGTGGAAAGTTAAAAGGAACCAATACAATGCTCATGACCTATTTATCACTCTATTGAAATAATGAGCATATAATAAGACATGCTAGAACACGATTTAGATATATACCATGTCCGAAAAACAAAATATTTTACTGATATATCATTTAACTGAATACTGGTAGAATGAATCGAATGAATCAAATTTTCTTTATGAACGTTCACTATCACATCGGAAATGCTGTTGACATAGACGAAAATTCTGAATGATTATAAATTTTGTAAGGAGACATATCAATCAAAGTTCCTCATTTTAAAAGTGAATAAGTTCGATCTGATACACTACGAAATGAAGAAAAGAGTGTAAACAAGGATGCAGGGAGAAAAGGAAGGATAAGTGATGAAACAAAAATCATTATTTCAATACGTAGAAAGTAAGTAAACAGATAAAACAATTCGGATCACAGACTGAACTAACAACTGTCTGTTTTTTTTACAAATACATTCTTCCTCTTGAACTATCTGTTTTATTTATATCGGAAGTGCAAGTTACAGAACAGTGCATTTTACTACTAAGGTAAGTTAATGTCAATCGATGCTGAAGACTAACAGTAATTACGTAAACTACTTAGAAAATTATGAAAGTTATCCAGTGGAAAATTAGAGAATGTATCAATAACTACTGACATTATAAACACACAAATAATCAAAAGAGAAAAAGAATACTAATAATACACAACATAATTGCAATATTACCTAAAATGCATGAATGAGAGCATAGATACCAATTTGACCGTAATAGTTTTTAACCGTAAGCAGGAAATTTTAAACTTATCAGTTAACAAACACTTTATTGTTGCTACACTGGCTAAAATCACGGTTCTCTCCCAAGATAAAATGCTCTATATACAAAGTTGTGTCGATACAGAAGAAACAGACTAGCTTTTGAATAAATGGATGCAGTTTAATACTCAATAGGTGAGAAAAAAGACCTTAAAGACTGTGACCTAAACCACTGGTTGAAAATTGATTTTAATAGGGTCGATAATTCTTCATATAGATTCTCCGCTTACGACCTTTATAGATTGTCACCCACCTACGCACTATTCATAATGATGTGATTATTACTGGTTATAAATTAAAGAACTACCTATAACCAATAGGAAAGCTCTAGTTTGTCGAAGGTCAAATTATCTGATTGGTCTGTTGAAAAGTAAACTGTGGTAAAAAAATGTCTTAGAAAACGTACACACAAAGAATATTTCTTGTTAAAGTTGCATAGGTTATTCGATCTAGACATGCATGAAGAGCAAATACATATGTTGTATGTGTTGTGATCGTGAAAACAAGGCAGGTAATAAGCAAATTGTCTAAAGTAATGACATGATGAACTAAGGACTACTTTAGTTAATAAGTAATATTTACTGATCTAAATGTGATAAGTTATGATTGATGATTGTTTCTTTAACTAAACTTTGTTCATATTTGAATATGGCCATATTATTTATGATTTCATGAATGAAACAATAATTTTTACTGAAATATACACACTTAGTACCCCGAATAATAATTAATTAATTAGAAAAGTAAACACAAAACTGCGTTTGTGATTCAGATATATATTCACTTAAAGTCGAGCATAATTTTTTTGTTGTAACGGTTGCAAAAATTAATGAGAAATATTAGTGAATACTCCCCAACCATCATTATAAAGTCAACTGGACATATGAACTAAGTATTAAAATGAAAACACTCAAAACATTAACGGATTTTGGATATACTACTAAGAAATTTTTAATAAATTCTATGTACAGAAATGCCAAAGTAAAGGAAAACAGGAAATGTAAGTTCCCTAAATGTTTAAATAGATTTTATCAAATAATTTGAGACAAAAAAGCAGGACCTTAATTTACATATGTCTTTCCCACTAGGCTTAACTCAGAATCAGACCTTGCCATAGAGCACAAACGTACTGAAGTAGATCCTTACACCCATTAGTGACCTACTTCCGAGAATTGAATGAGTAAGAAAACAGTTATTAGACTTGAAAAATAAAATCGACCGAGTCCTTAAAGAAATATTAGAAAAGTTTGAAAAATCCCTTGTACATTTTTCTAAATAAAGTAGCACAAAAGACCTATAGTGAAATGTAAGTAGATGGTTCTTACGAAAGCGAAATTCAAGGTATTACTGTAAACTGACAACTGAAGAACAAGATTCTGTGAGCTACAAGAAAAAAAATAAGACTGTATGACTTACAATATGTGAACGACGTCTAGCAAAATAAGTTAATAAGCATTTGTTAACGCTGAAATGAATTGCATATAGTGTATACTTGAATCGAGTTGAAGATTAAGGGAAATTGCTAAACTAACAATAGAAATACATACAAATATCAGATAGTGCGATAAATAAAAACAACCAAAATAAATGTTTCATCAAAGAACCATATAATGCATGAAATGACATGACTTGACAAGTGAGATGAACCCTAAATAAATTGTTACGACAATTAAGTCGTAAAAATGTTGATTTAAAAGAAATGTACGTCTAAGGCTTATTGGGTAATCATCATATAAAAGAGATGACTATCAGTATGTTCGGTTTGAGTTCGTATTAAAAAAGAAAAGAGAATGGAGATATAATAACCCAGAAGAATTATTAATTGGGATGAAAGGATGGTTTGGTGACTTTTGGCTCCTAATATTTGTCCAGACTATGTTAATTAATGATGAGGAGTACTCAAAACTGATGGATCGTTCTCCTTTATATAGGATTTGAAACCTCTTCAGATCTACTTACTGAACTGTATTTATCAAGTGCTTAATGTATAGATTGTGTTATTTCGCAAATACAAGAGTCTGAAGGTTTAACTAAGGAACCTCCGATTACATAGTTTTTCACCATGGAATGATATCTCTGTAAATGAACAATGTATATAAAAATTGATAAAGAACGATGGGTACCTTGTAATGCTGCATCACCTCCAAGCTGTGCTTGCACAGTTGCAGGCATTAAGGGAATAGGGCGACGACGACCATCTTCTCCAATTAAACTTCGACCGACACACCAAGGACGTCGAAATCTTTCTTCAGTAGGCATTCGGTAATAGCCCTGTGTTCGAGCTGACCCTGTAGTAAGCAAGAAAAAGTCAAGACCGTACACAGCTATATGGGACAAACAAAGCAAAATAATTTGCTATCATAATGTTGGAATTTTTATGGGCGTGTATGACAGCACCGAACCAAAGACAGACTAAAAAACAGTCATAAAGATGTACTGATTACTTAGATTTCATTATGAACTGTGATCCATATTTGGTGAGATTTATTCGTGAATAACTCTATGACGACTTAAAACCTACTAATTTATACTGGTTTAAACAGCGACGATTACAAAAATAGGTCGCTTGCCAATTTACCCACTAATGCTAAATATAGTATTTTATTACTACAAACAGATTATAAGATAAAAACTAAAATTAAAATTCATCTCATTAAAATAAGTGTATTAGTTGAGTGCTACGTTTGACTGGCATAAGTTATCAACTACATATTTCATTCAAAGTAGATAACGTACGATAAAAAACCTTATGAAACAGACTTTATACAACATGATTATTTAAAATAATCATACAGTATTCTTATTTATTAGTTAAAATGAGAAAGTGAACTATCACCTCAGATTCTTGATAATTAGTGCAAGCTTTATAACATTGGATATCGCAATCCTAGTTTGTATTCCAGTCTGTAAAACTTAAAAATCATGAAACGAAAACTTGGTAATATTTATGCATTTCTCTCAGTGAATGTTACTCTAAAAAATGATTATTCGAATACCCTAATTAGATGTTTAAAATAATCATTTATCTTTAATGTTATAAATTCTACAGGTAATTAACAGATTAAGAGTAACCATTACCTGATGAATGGATTGGCGGTAAACAGGCTGCAGGACCAAGGTGAATATCAACACTATCTCCAACTGTATCAACATTCTCATTTAAAGAAGCAGCATAATTCGCTACCGCCAGTATTTGGTCGTCAAACTTAGGCCAGGAGAGTGTTAGTTTATGATTATATGAAGTATTTACAGGTGAGTAAGTGGGAGAACATTCCTTTTTACATACTGAGCTGTTGCTCAAATCCTTTTTGTATTTTTCATCAGAAGAGTGATTTAGTGATTGATCAGATAAAGAGGAATAAAGGTCATCTGAATCAGATGATCTTGCAAAGGATTTATGGTGAACAGAAGATAATTTGGATGTGGAATTCTTAGAACACGAAAATTTGTATTGATATCGTTGACGCTCATGCTTCTGTCGACCTGACCACAAATTGCGTGAATTAACAAGATGTCCACTATCATTAACGTGTGTTTTGACAGTAATGGGATCAGCGGCAAGGGTAGGTGGATGCTCAACCCAGTGTGAAAGGCTTATAATATTTACAACACGAGGATCAACGACTTTAGCGTTCATATAAAAATTGTCTTGTTTGAAATTATCATATGTAGTGACATCTAATGGTGAATGGCATTTGCTTAGCAGAAACTGATAGGCTTCACACATAAAACTAAGATCTTCTGCATCTATACCAAAAACGAGAATACTCCTCAGGATCTGTGAAGAAAACAATCCAAAAAGAATACATAAAAATAACGAAGTCATATTTACAGGAAATAGGATATTTAGGGAAAAGGATTTTTTATTGATACTACGAAATAGTCTGAAATACGGATACTATAAACTATCATTTATGACGGAATTTAGATAAATCGATGTGGTTTCGAAATCGAACCTGCACTGTTATTGAGCTATGAACTAGGTCACTGACGACCGTTAACTAGATATACATTTACAGTCAGTCAACATAGGATCAGAGAACACAAGAATTATTTGAGCTAATAAGTCTAGTGTAACTTATTACGAGGGTTAAACACGATAGACCAAAATTTACCGATGCGAAATTCAGAACCAATGAGATTGACTCATGTGTAAACCCAAACGAGTACAACGACCAATCACAAGCCGTCGATGGTTAATAAATTCAGAATGACAGTTAGACAATATGCTGATACAAAGCATTTTACCGTATGCTAGTGAAACCATATTCATTATATGAATCAGGTTTTGAACTTCATTGGCCACAAATTGTAAGAAACCAAAAAAAACGTAGTATTCACAAGAGGAAGAAGACTTCGCTCATCCTTCCAAAGCACAAAACGCTCACTTACGTCTCGTCTCCCGGTAGCTGGGAACCTAACCTATAACTCAGATCGGTTAGATATTTGACGGAAAACGTAGATTCTAAAAATTGGCCGAGTTGTTTAGGATAAATTTGTTGACCACTTTTGGCAAGTTTGATCCAAACAGATGTGGGAAAATGTGGAAATGCCAACGGTACTTGACTGAAAGATGGTTAGTTGAAGCTATTCAAAATGTGGCAGAACTCACTCCTGATTCAGTCTTTGTGATGATAGTTGAAACATAGGTGGAAATAAAACAGACATTGTTTCCTATCTCAGTTAGTTAATATTTGATTTAGACTTTTATCTTCGAAGTACATAAACGACCAGTAATGAAGCTCTATTGGTTTATTACTTCTTCATCCCATGCATTTAGTTTAAGATCAACGCCAAAACGGTCCAATCATAATAAAATGGGGTGCTCAGACAATCGCGCATAAAAAGTACTTAACGAAGTAACAGGTCGAGAATGAATTACGAATAAGGATACAGCAAACATGAATGGTAACAAGCTCAAACAGCAAAAAGTGATATCAAACTCAGCAAGTATCTAAAGAACAACTATCTGGTGACTTTAAACACTATGCACAAAAACTTTCACATAGCTTCTGAAAATTATTGAAAACTAACTTAAGAAGAAAAATCGACTACAGTAGAAAAAGAGGCGCAGATATTCAAAGTAGTATAAAAATGAATGTTTTTAGAATAAAAGAACTATAAATTGTTAGCACCTCTAATTTGTAGCGTGTAAAGCAAACAGTGCATATTCTTCGTTTTCTCCATAATTATCATGAAATGTGTGATCAGTCAGTCAGTCAGCTACAATGTAGGACCAGGCACATATATGCATCGGTTCAAGTTGTCATACCGCATTAGCACAAGATGAACACCGGATTCATAGGAGTAGTTAATTCAGTCGTGGTAAGATATAAAAGAAAGATTGCATATAAAGATATAGTACAGGAAGAAAGAATTAGTTCGCAGAAAGACATGAAGTGATTGTAATCTCTTAGTTAAAGGGAAGACAGAGAGTCTTACGATAGTCACGTGGACCCCAACCAAGTAGTCGTCCGTTGTTGCTACCTTGACTTGGTGGTCGAGCTTGCCTATCGTGATGAAGCAACTGAGCTATACTGACTGGAAAAACGGTTACTCAAGGTCCTACCACGTCAGACAGGTCGGTTGAAGAGCGGTAAGACTAAAAGCAACAAACCCAAGGTCCGAAGACGAAGTCGTACTGCTGACTTTACAGAGGTTTGACAGCAGTAAGGGGTTTCCTTCAGACAACCAGCATGACAGCGATGATGCCTTTCCATAACAATGGGGGTTAGAAAATGTCGACCCTAAAAATGCATATCTCGCCTTATCCCACGGATATCCGTCTCCATCGGTAGGGTCTCAACAACTACGGAGCTAACACAAAAATAACTCATGGAAAGATCGTGTGTGACAGACATCAAGCAGTTGTGCTCTGGGTACTGCGGTCAAGCTCTCAGGTCATTAAGACCACCTCTAATCCGATTTTCTGATCAGGTACCTCCAGAAGAACCCTTCCACGGTGTGTTCAACAGGGAAGTGATAATCGCCCTCATACCTCTAACAGCACTCAAGACCACTGTATTCATAATCAACCTCCCTCTTCAATTCCTATTATTCTTCCTACATCAACTTCAAACTCTAAACTTCCTCTGTTGACTTCCTCCTCCTCAAGTGTCACCATAGCCAACGATTCTAGCGCGCAAAACACTGTCTCAGGTCTACTGAAACCTCTCTCCACACTACATATTGGGGCCTTCAACGTACGCACCCTATGTCAAATCGGTCAGCAGACCTCCTTGACTAGATCTCTAGAACCTTGTACCACTAAAGTATGCGATGTATCCAAAACGTGCATACAGGATCCTAGTGTGGTCATTCACTTGACCTCACCTCGGCAAAACGGAGGGCCGACGAGATACACCCTCCGTGTACCTGGTGACCCGATGGCTAGTTTTAGTGGACTGGTAGACATAGCACTAAGTACGAGGATGGAACAAGCACTATTATAATGGATCACCGTTAGCAGTCCCCTATGTGCTGTTCGGCTGAACGGCTCCGTAAGAACTCGGAAGTATAGGGGCACAGGTCGATGCCTTTTCGTCGTTTTTGCCTACGCTCCCACTAACTGCAGCTCGGATGAAGTGAAAGATGAATTTTACAGAAAGCTCTCTGAACTTCCTCAGAAAGCTAAACGCTCAGACAGAGTACTCGTAGCAGGTGACTTTAATGCCCAGATAGGTAGTTTAAACCGTACAGAAAGGCATTTAGGTGAGTATTTTAGTATTCCGGCACAACGAACAGATAATGGTGATCGTCTGCTGCAACTGTGCTCAGACAATCCTTTATTTTTAGCAAACACAAATTTTAAGCATAAGGAGAGAGATCGTCTAACATGGAGACCCCCTACACTAAACCAACGATGGACTCAAATAGGCCATATTGTCATCAGTCATTGTTGGAGAGGGTCGGTAGAAGATTGTCGCTCATTCTGGAGTACCTGCTTGGACTCTGGCAATGCCCTAATACGGGCACGCACCTGCTTGCGCCTCACCGGACGTAGAAATACCACACTAAAAAGACCCATTAGAATTGAATTGAGTAATGAGAAATCCGAAATTAGGTTCCAGGAACAATTGAGGTCACACTTAGGTAGTTCTGAAAACGAGGCCGACCCAGATGTTGCTTGGAAACATATACAAACAGCTGTGGAGACAGCAGAGACATCTAATAGTGATTTAAATCACAGGGTTACAAAGAACCAATGGATTTCTTCAAGGTCTATTGCACTGATGGATTCTCGTAAACTCATCCCATCAGGTTTTCAACACGATGAAGAGCGCAAACAAATCAGATCTAAGTTAAGCAAAGGTCTAAGGAACGACTGTGAGTAGTGGTGGGCAACGAAAGCAAAAGAGATGGAAAAGGCAGCGGCTATAGGGAACACAAGACAGCTCTACGGACTAATGAAAGAAACTGGAATTAATAAGTCAAATGTAAGTCAGATTATTTCGGAAAAAGACGATACTCTCATCTGCTCCCAGTCCAGACGTTTAGAACAATGGACGGAACATTTTAGAGAACAGTTCAGCTGGCCTTCAGCTACTCTACAATTACCATCCGTTCCCAAACAGCGTGAATGGAACATTGAAGTAGGCCCACCAACTCTAGCTGAAGTTCAAAAGGCTATAGTTAATCTGAAACGAGGAAAGGCAGCTGGTCCGGATGGATTGGCTCCAGAGGTCTTTAAGGATGGTGGTCCAATTTTAGCTATTAGGTTGACTAGTATTTTAGCTAAAATCAGGGAGTTGGACGTTATCCCATCTAACTGGTCACAATCATTTATCATCGCAATATATAAGAGAGGGTCAAAATCATGCTGTGACAACCATAGAGGGATTAGTTTAACTAATATAGTATCTAAAATACCAGCCTCGATAATTATAGGACACCTAACTAAGACTCGTAAACTGCAAACACGAGAAAATCAGGCTGGCTTCAGACCTGGTCTTGGCTGCATCGACCATATATTCACCATTCGTTAGGTTCTAGAACATAGGCATACTTATCGGCGTCCGACAGTGGTGGTCATTCTTGATTTAAAAGCAACGTTTGACTCGGTAGACCGCGAGATTCTGTGGCATTGTCTGTCATTGAAAGGTATACCTCAAAATTACATAAACCTTGTGAAGGTTCTTTACTTGAACATTACAAGTTGAGTCATAGCTTATGGTGAACTGTCATCTGCTTTTGTAACCTCAAGTGGTGTCTGTCAAGGCTGTCCACTTTCTCCATTTTTGTTTAACTTCATCATAGAAATGTGTGATGTCCCTGATACACGTGATATGGAATCCCATATTAAATGTTGACCAAATAACCATATAAGCTACTCACGCCTTTGGACTTTCGAGGTCACTTGCACAGTTAGTTTCGAATTAGGGTTTTGCAACTGCCTTCGACAAGCATGCAGTGCGTATCGATCCGGTTTTTGCTCTCAAGTTATTTGGAACCCCGCTTCGTAGAAGCAACGAGCAGGGGTATCCTGATAATCTGGACTCACAGTTATATAATAGCATTTCAAGAGGAAAAGTGGATTCTTCCCATCCTTGACAATTCCAGTGCATATATATCTTCATAATTGGTCATCGCTTTAAGCATCAAAAGAAATCTAACTTCAACGTACTTATTAGGTAAAGAAACTACAAATGGATAAAGTATACTTACGTAATCTTCTTCAGATGCCGACCTTGGTTGAAAATGTGGTTGTGATCGAGAAAAACCTCGCTCTCCAGACATACGTTTGTAAATGTCTTCTTTCAGTAGACCGCAAGATTCTTCCATAACACGACGAATTTCGGATTTAGGTACTGGTGCTAAAAGACTGGCCAGTTCACGTGACCCACGAACTTTCGAAGTTTCAGGTTTCGCTTCAATATATTTTGGCTTCTTATTCTCCTCTGTCAAAAGCTGATTTGCTTTTAAGTCAGCTTTACAAATTCCAGTAACCTCTTCATTTCTTAACTCTGAAACATTCGAACGCTTCGACAGTTTGAACCACTTAGAAGAATCATGGGAATCATCATCACTGACGCCGCCACTAATGTACGTAGGGTCTGTTGGCCAAGAGCGTTTTCGTAAATTGTCCGCTGTGGTCAAATGACTGTCGACGAAACTATCCTTTGACTTTAAATTGTGTTTAGTTACTTTCCTAGTAGATCGATAATGAATGACAGATCCAATTTCAGGAACACGAAAATAATTATGATCGGTAAGGAGGGGTTCAGGCCACATATATTTACACTCCACAGTCTAGAAATTTTAACATAAGCAACAAAATGCCAGTTTACTTACTTCCACAATATCTACAGATTCCATTGAAGCACTATCCGTACTATCTCCATCTAAATCATCCGACTTTATATTTTTTTCAGATAGCTTCAAATTATCACGATCCCTTGACTGAAGTGAACAAAACGGCAAAATATATACCAAAGACTTATTTGTAAGTTACACAAATATTTGCACGTAAAATTACAGAACATAACTGGAACATACAATATACATAAATTATACAAAAGGCTTCCATAAACCTCCTGTTCATTGGTTTATGTACAGGAACACGAATCAACAGACCATAAATTCCTACCACTCTACATCTTAAGAGTCCTCTTTGACTAAAATTATTCAACCGAACGTCTTTTTAAATCACATGTTAACAAATTAGATAAACAAAAAATCCACTACAACAGATTTCCAAAGGAAGAATTACGGTAAATAATCGTACAAACGCTCTTATAATTTACAGAGCATGATCGAGTTCAGAAAATACACCATATACGATAAAACCGAAACATAATAGCTAAAAATATGTATAAGATGAATTTGTAATTCTTACCAGAATGACGAGGCAAGAATTAGATAACTATCCTATATATGGGATTATATATATTGCGCATCAAACATGTGTGAATTCACGTAGGTATATCGGTTGCACTAGGCTAATAGTTACACTGACAAACTGCAGACATTTCGCGAAAAAAATGGTACGCAGTGTACAGTTCAAACTTGAGGAAAGATTAAAAAACCTGATTGAGGCTCATTAGCTAAAGGAAATATGAAATCACGAATAACGTTCGGCAGATAAGTGAGTGGAAATTCCAATTGCCAAACTTCAACACAAAATACGTTGGTTCGTTAGGCTTCTTAAAGTACAAGTACATGGGATTTAAATTTAAAACAAGAGTTTGGAATAACTAATGTTTACGCTCACTGATACAGGAAATCCTGGAGAATGGTATAAAGGATATCTATGGAGTTTTTGATCAGAGATCAAACTCATTTTCTGAGGAATATCAGTGTCTGGAAATGATGTACATTTATTTTTTTGATCAATAGTTGACAAGGCCATATTGTTTCTGCATAAGCCACCAAGATTCTGTTTTCTACGTGAACCTCCAGATGGTTGAGAGTTGTATGTCAAAGGAATAGTAGGAAAATCTGAAGATTGGAACTCCAAAGATGCACGTAATATAGACCAATCGGTGTTTGATTGATGATTCACTTGGTTAACTTTTGAAGGAATATTATCACAAGTAGAGAAATCCTTTAAGTAAGAAAAATATCGTATAAGGTCATCCAATATTAGAATATTTATTCAAAAAATAGATGAACACATAAGACTATTGGAAAATATAGTTGTGAACTAACTTTTGAAAATTCACATAGTGACTAATAACTTAAATACTTTTACCCATGGTACATATAATCTAAAATACGATCTGACAGACATAAGATCAGTTAGACATGATGACACTTAACGCAACAATTTATTTGTAGGATGAAAAATTAAATCCAGCTTTAGGAGTTAATACAATCAACACATCTGACAATACATTTTTATATACACAATAAACACATGAACAATATCATAGTTTCCCATTAAACTTCAATATTCATAAGTAATGTCAATGTATAAACTGAGTATACAACTGATTGCTAGATTTTTTCTAGTCAATATCTGTATAATCAAATATATGCTTACGCGAGAACTATCATCATTTGTCTTAAACATATCGTCTTCAGAACTAGATTCTGTAGAAACCAAAGAGTCTTCAAAACCAGATGTCTCTTTTTGTGGACTGAAATTAGATGAATATTTAGGTGACAATTGGTTGTTCTTTCGTGGTCGACCTCTTCTGCGTTGAACTTCTTGAATAGGACAAACAGGTTTGGAGACAGGTGATCGTTGGAAGGCAGTACATTTCTCAGGTTTGTGGATTTTACCAACGACCGTTAGCTCTGTATCTTCATTTTCTTCGGAATCCAATGCACTCTGAAACAAAAGATCTTAAAGGGTAAATATTGCACTTTCAATATGTTTCATAACTTGATTCAATAAGGAATTATTACAAATACCGTCACAATACACTACACATAAAACAATCAAAACATCATACATAAAGTAAAAATTAACAAATCAGTAGTGACCAAGATATTTATGACCGAAATTTAATGAGTGGTTGGTAGTTTTAAATAATGACTAAGTTCTCATCAGTTTGTCATTATTTATTCATATTTCTTTAGAGTAGTCGAAAAAATATCTTGACATTTACATAATCTTGCAGAGTAGCAATCAATGCAGAATGACATCTGAACTAATTAAACAATTGTCCACTAAGAAACCATCCCATTTTACTTGAAAAATTACGAAAATTGTCTTATCCTAATGAAAAGGTTTATTAGGCATGTTTGACAATGAAAATAATTGAACAAAGAATGCTGATAATTGCATTCTGGCAGATCAGATACAAAATGTATATAACTACTTTCCATAGCTTTCGAAATTTCTGAATTAATATATTCAGTAATGGGATGGAAGATTTTTAAAAAGTCATTATTTTAGGTAAATATCACCATCAGAGAAAACTGATCATAGTGACTAGCTTATCAAAATTAAAGCATAATGGAAATATTTAGCGTTCTTTAAATTACCCTGAAGCCCAACAAAATATAATTAGCTTACAGATATGACACATACTGGTCTGCGTTCACCCATTATAACTCAAAAAATTATAAGTTTATCAAAGTGCAATAATGATATATATATTTGAAGGAAGAAACAGTAACCAAGTCCCCCCCCCATTTTTATGATTGTTAACTAAGTACAAAATCAACTATTAATATAAGCTACTTTAGGAATCAAACTTAGCAACGTGTACAGACTCTGGTGCTAGAACAAAAAAATAAATCTAATTCATGAAGGTTGCGAACACTTACATCGAAGGGTATGGGATGATGTAAGATGACTAACCTAAATCATTAAACGGTGGCAAATGTTAAGTGGATAGATCGTTTCAGTTCTTTCTAATAATTGCAGGTGATTTTCTCTATTTTCACTAAAATATCACCAGTCAACTGTAACATAATCATAATGAAATAGAATAAAAGGTATTTTAGATTTATAAATAAACACTGTACACAACACTAGAAGGTAAACATGCAGAGCAAATGTATACACAGTATACAACTTGGCCGACAAGTTACAATTTAGGCATTTAAAAAATCATTACCTCTGGTTGTGAAGAAATAGGTGAAGAAAGTGAATCATTGGAATTTCTGTTCCGCGTAGATTCAAAGTGTGAAGTTTCTACAGGTGATAAACGACCACGATTAGGGGAGTCTGACTTAAAATCTGAAATCTCAGAAAGTTCATCCGGTGAAGGTTTTGTAAATCTTCGAGCTTCATCGGGGTTATTTTGTGGTTCAGTTGATAGGTCCGAACTTTCACTATCAGATGGTAAACTCGATCCAACTGGACTTTTCGAATCACTGAAACGAAAAAATATAAATAAAACTTTTTCATAGATGTGGAAGTAAATTCTATTAAACTCGATCCAAATTTATTGAAATAGTAATTCACTTTTATATTGAAGAAAACAGTTCACCTAGCAGAAAATGGTAGACTGCATATTGTAACTTACATAGCTGATGAGCAAACAACAATATTAACCGTAATTTTAATTGACTGATTAAACAAAAAGTTGTTTCAGAATACTGAATCTTACAAAATTATCCACGTTACTACGTTTTTCACCAGATTTATAAGAAAGTAACGCGCATACATATCTAAGAAATGGCTACTTTGACGGTTGCCCAAGTATGGCAGCTAAACGTGTCCTAATGTAACCTGATATCAAATGTAATTTAGTGAACAGACAGAGGTAGACATCTGTACACAAGTGAATGTATGGCATGGTCTGTGTTAGTTACTTCTTCCGAAAAACTGATTTTAGGTAACAATAGTTCAAACACGATGAAGAGGCGAGGTGACAACTGCAAGTAGTGCAAACTATTACTAAATTAATATGAGCGAAATGTACTAGTGATAATTAATAATAGCCCGTTATCAAGATTCATTTAAAACCGTCTCCAGAAAGACTAACTCTAAGGACCATTGCAGATAAAAGCTAAGACCAAAGTCGAAAAGACTATCCCAATTCTGAAAAGGGAGAAAGAGCAATAATACAAGTTGTAAGAGACTGAAACTTAACAGCTATAATTAATTTACTTTAGCTGAGCGGTGTGAATTAGGTATAAATACCTCCCAATGGTTTCGAGCAATAGAGACTAAAAAACGTTATACTCAAATTCGAAAAATGATGATGATTCGGAGAAAGCAAAACTAGGAGAAACAGGCAAACCTTGGGTTAACAACTAAAACCACGGTCTGTAAGGCTATAAAACAGCGATTACTTCTACTAACCGATGATTCTTCGCTTGAAAGTACGAAACAAACAAATTACATCACACAATGGTATTTACTCGAACACCCCCTAAGGTATGAACGTTTACTGCTAAGTACTGTCTGGGGAGGTTTCTATAGATGATGGTTTACTGGTAGCTTCTTCTCGTGGATTTATCTTTGGGGTTTCCTTTTTTCAACTTTTTATACAGGGCTTTCGCCAAGATATCCTCCAAAGAACTACAAGTACACTGAAAAGAAAATGACACGACACAAATTTTGTTAAATATATAAAAATGTCTGAAATTTGTTATGCATTACGCCCCAGAGATAGTGAAGATTGTAGATTTATAAGATTGGTGACTGAAGTTAGGGTTGGGGGTAAGCAGTCCCAAAATAGCTTTACAAGAGTTTCCGGCTTCTGTTAGTTCATGACAGAAACTTTTAATGAATCAAAATGAACTTGGACATGGAGATAAAACGACTAGCTTTTGTAAACCTACAATATTAACAGTACAGTGAGTATATCCAAATGCTTTTTCAAATGTAAATTAAGCTGCAAACTTGTAAATCTAGAACTAAAGCATGGTTGTTACGGTGTAAGATATGAGAGATATGCTAACACAATTTTCTTCGGTGAGCTGATAGATTTCGCAAGAATTACCTGGTGAGCAATCTTAAGATCAAGCCTTGTGTCGGGTAAAAACGCAGACAAGTTGGCGAACTTGTGACAAACTTTTTGAGCCATAATTACTAATCTGAGTCAGATAGAGTCCCAGACAGTCAGTCACCACTTATAATCAGTATAGAGCCTAATACAAATGTGCATCGCTTCAAGTTGCTACACTACATCAACACAGAGAGATGAAATTATCACGATATGTACTAAAGTGAGAGAAGTAGCGTTATGTGATAGCTGAAGAGTAAAGTACTCCGAACAGAATTATAAGAATAAAAAGTGGGTATTGAAATAACGTCCCTTTGTTAACAATGTAAGGTATGGTTCCATATTTGTCCTATAATTGATTGAGAATTTTTTCTCTTGGTGCCTATCTGTTGCATCCTAACAAGTAGTCTTGTAACAAAACTGACCTTACTGTCATTCTGGTTTTCTCAAGAGTTTTTGTGGTGAAACTAAAGTAAATGATATTCTAGATTTATGAACCCGGTTACTCACTGTTAAGTGGATTAAGGATAGAGGATGACAATGTTTCATACAAATATCATTTTGTATTTTCGCATTTTTAGATTCATAATAGATCTTCATGTATTTGATCGGCATCCGGAAATTTACATTTTAACATGATTTAGGTACTACATCCAATACTGGTTGAAAACAACACAAACGTACAGCAGCTCTATGTAGAAAAATGTTTCTCTGATTTTTCAGTGTGATGGAATATCGTCAGCCGCAAATATGTGCATGAAACGAGAGGAATTCAGTTCAAGTCACAGCAAGCTTCAGCCAACCATTACTTTATCCGAATTTCTTATTGTTTTATATCCTGTGATATCTCAGAATTTCCTACAGTCAGTAACAACATAGAATCTGTACGTATGTACGTCGGTTCAATTTGCCATGCCCTATTAGTACAGAGATGTTATCAGGCTAAAACCTAAAACGGTAGACGTATTAACAGTATCAGTGGTAATAGAAAAGATTAGGCATAGAGGATACAACTAGAAAAGAAAATATAAATTAATGGAATAAAAACAAAACAAAGTTATGAGGAATTTAAGACCTCAGAATTTGGGGAAAGACAAAGAATGGGTTTACCTGCACCATTGCAAACGATTTTTAGCCATGTCATTCAAAGTCTCTAACTATTGGTTACGATAACCACGCAGACCCCCAGTCAGGTAGTTTGTACCTATTAACATGGCTAAGTTCAATTGCCAGTGACTTCAAGAACGAATGACATGTTTTGTCTTGGACTCCCCTAGCTTTCTTCCAGCCTACTCCTGCACAAGAAAACATCGACCATCCTACATAATTCTAGTTTGTGAAGCCTCTACTTGTTTTCAATATTACCGTCAGCAACAAAGTATTATGATTTTTGCTGGATATTAGAGTGTAAGCTCTTTTTTGAATGAAGTGGCTTCTTTTATGTAACGACAATACATATATATGGAGCTGGTGTGAATTATGTTTATCATTTGGACTAAAATGATTTGTATCGAGTTCGTACGAATTACCAGAGTTGAGATACCTGTAATCGGTTAGGTTCTCATTAATAGGTGATTAACAGGAATTAGGTTAAACCAGAGTATAAATTAGCATCTAATATGATGTCGTAGCCTTATCACTGCTTATAATTCAATGAACCACAATCCAGTAACAATCAAGGATGCGTCCTGTCAACAAATGAATAACTTCAATCAAGTACACTCGATAGATGCTGTGGAAATGACTGAGGACCCCTTATTGCTTCATATTTACTCGGATATCCAGTCAGCCGAACCGTGGTTACTTTCTCAAAACTGTTAAGTCAGAATTTCGGGTTCGATACTACGGTTGAAGTGATCAGTAAGACTACTACTGCAGTCATTGTAGCAACTTATAAGTTAACTAAGTTGACAAAAAACTAGCAATCCACCGAAAGTGACAATTCTGATAAAACCCCAACTTCTAAAATGTAATAAGTCACCTGTTCTAAATGGCTACAAAGTAAAAATGTCCTATCACTGTGAAATTAGGAAATGGTCCTAATACTCTTTAAAAACATGATGCATAGCGCGTGAAAAATCCTTAGGTTATAAATTTGCCATCAGTTGCATCTAAAACGCTGAACTCTCAATTGTACAAAAAGACTAGAAAAATAATTCAAGTGTAAACTTGATTTTATGCATGTCAATAGAAAATAATCAACAGATCGGTAATGGTGTATTTGGCTTCTACGCACTAAGTTGTGGACAGGTACGATGTTGAGATAGATTTTTTAGTCTGTCTATAACTTAAGCTGCCTAATAGCTGTACGTTTATTTATCTAGGAGTGACTTTAAATCATTTTAGCAAAAATACATATTTCCCATTAGAATCCTTAAACATGATCTATATAGTTTGTACCAACTTACAATAATCTCGCCAAATGGTTCAAAAGAATTTACAACAGGTCATATACTGACATTATTAGTTCACTAAATTCTTCTCTTTACTATAATAATTTATGAAATTCGGGAGTTAACACAAGAACATTTACATGCTTTTGTACTTCAATTTAAAATTCACGGTAGTATTTTTCAGATGAACAGACTAGTGTCTATCAAGATATACAATTTGGTTACTACGACAAGACTGAGGCTGGTGTTCAGCAATCAAACAATGTAGATTTCGAATTTATTAACAATCATATAAACAAACCCCGTTCACACTGATGTAGAAATTAGGTCTCATCAAACGTTATAATCTGTTAGATAAAAAAATATTCAAGACATTTATAGTGAAATAAAAGTTTTTAATAATGGAAATATACCTTTTGGAAAATACATCTGAAACACGCGCATGTTCTCTACGAGACTTAATATGCTGAAAAGATTTTGAAGGAGAAATGAGTTCGCTATCATTATCCGATGAAGTATAATCGCTTGTACGAATATTTTCAGGAGAATGGCTTGATTTTGAAGGGAATTTAGACTGTGATCGAACGTATTCACATTTGTCATTTGACTTGGAAGTTCCAGAGCGTCTTCTAACGTGATGATATCTATGCCTATCCTGATGTTCTTTTGAGCTGCAAAGGTCTCGTACACGATCAGTAGTCACTTGGTCTGCTTGTTCCGTGGAACTTTCACTACCTGAAGTACATGTTTACCAAAAATGTGAAATTAAAATATGTTTACATGAGGCAGAGTGCAAAGGTATGTAACAAGGAATTCTGAAATCCGGGACCGAGAAGATAAAGAGTGCGTCTGCAACGCTGTGAACGAATCGAAGCAATATCGCGTAAAATCCCAAAACACTGATTGCGGTTATCTCGTGTATCTCAACTAGGTAATCAGTGACTTCATAAACTAATATTGTGTGGTAATTAAGACGTTCCTAGCTTTCTTCTAACCTACTATTATGCCAGCAGGCATCCCCTGTCGAGGTTGACGGTGGTTAAACATACGTAACACATGTCTTAACTACTTCAGTCGGTGAGGATTTGCAAAGTCGTCAACAGATTCGCCACCTCTGCCCAATCCCCCAAGCTTGACTTCACTCATTCACTGGTTGTCAAGCGAAACACAAACAATGCTTTGTATATACTCATAATAAAAAACTACAGCTGACGTGTTTCCTAATTCACAGCCATCAATAAATACAGACCGTACTGCGGCGCAGTAAACAAATTAATGACTACTGGAATAAACAATTAGGAGTTAAAAAGAAACTAAGCAGCATTCCTCAAATCCACTCATTGTAATACATAATCTTAAAAAGATTTCAGCAACTGTACCATTACAAAAATAGACAACTGACTAAATTTTCTGACAAACTCTTTGAACCTAAAATATATTGATCATTACATAAGTTTATACCTGATATAATTCGACATTTCCCCAAAAAGCGGTTTATCAACTAGTAATCAATTATAAGGTGAGGGTATATACGAACAAAAAAATTACCTGAAGATTCAGAGATTTTACCACGAATATTTACTTCACCATTGTTCTCGTCCGAACTTGATATGTCACTTGCTTTTTGTATTAGAGAACCACGGCTTTCCCAAAAAGGAGATCCTCTCAGCTTTAATTCAGTTTTACTCCGAAAATTTACATTTTGTTCATCTTGACAGATAGCAAGAGACTCAGTCTTTGATGTGGAAGCTACGGTGTTTGAACTTATGGGTTCAGGACTAGGTGGACGAGGTTTGCGTTTAATTTTTGGCAAAGCAGATCTTAAGGTTGTAAACATACCCAAACCAAAAAGTTTAAAGTTTGAAGATACAGAATTATTGTCAGACATAGTTGATACAGGAATACTAGAAGAAACTGAAGTAGGAGCAAATGAGAAGTTAGACATATTCCCACTAGCACTTTGGTTCTGATGTGATGGAACGGTAGAATCATGAGATGTGGTTGGATGGTCTACATAATTACTACCCACACTCTCCTCTTTAATATTGTGATGACCACTGACATGATTTTGCTATCAAAATAAAAGTAAATAAACGAAATTAATGAATTGTCAAATAAATTTTGTACGCATACAGTTTTCATGAAAAGTTGTAAACGGAAAACGAAAAATTATGATCCACGAAAGCTGCCTGATTATTACAATTCTGATATAGATTAATTAGAATGAAATTCCAATTTCGACTAAGTCATATTTTCATCAGCATCGTGCAAGTGTCCAGTGGAGTGAGTAATGGAATAAAAGAGCCAGAGCTCATTCACCAAGTGCAGTTTACATACTAGGTTTCACGTCATACCAAGTGAAAGTTATCACTAAACTGCCTAAACCAAAGTAGATAGGATAGGGTCCTAATCCGTAACCAAACGACTGAAAATCAGGTAGTTTAGCCGCTAACCCACTGACCCAAGGCACAACCTATTTGAGTTGCACAGAATTTTACTGAGTATAACAGTTTTAATGGTTAACGGACAAAAACCCAGTTTATATAAACTTTCCCTTAATTTACAAAGGTCTAGATCACTTTTGACGGTTGCTTCAATAACTAGCTATTCCTGGCTGATAAAGATATTTCTATGTCAGATGATGACAATATAATATACTTACTCTGTAGTCTTGTTCTCTCGAATCCCACCAATCGGAAAATAATTTAAATGCCTGACCTTCAACAACCTTTCGGGTTATATCCCGATGTATGATTCCTCGTAACTCATCCACAAAAACCATATGAACGTCATCGATTATTTTTATTACTTCTTGAACATCCACTGGTTTGTAAGGAGTTTTTAGGAGGGGCGGACGATGAAGGTTGAACAAAGAAGTCTTGGTATTCTCAAGTGACCCATCAGGAGTAGGTAAAAGCGTGCGACGGTTGGATGACGGGCTTGTTACTGCTCGTATATTTTTCGATGAATCAGAAGGCGTGCTTCCCTTCTGAACCACTTGATTTGAAGGGCTTTCAAATCGTTTTAAATCATCCGACTTGATACGTACATTGGTCGAAATACATGCTTCTGAAGATACTGGAAGATTGCAAGTGACTTTCGAGTTATGATCTGAAACGACTGGGGTATTCTGAGTATGTTTTAACTCAGGAACTGGTTTTACACAATTCAGTTTAAGCAATTTTTGTATGCGAGCTTCAAGAGACTCTTCGCAATAACGGGACTCATGAAGTTTTGCATCATCTTGTTGGCTAGAAAGCTTTTTAGAAACACATGTATTGGCTTCAAGTCCCATTGTATGTTGGTCTACTAAAAAACCTGAAGTACTTTTGCCAATATTTGAATTAGACGGAGCTTCTCGATGCCAGTGGGTCGCGGCAGAAGATATTTCTGAAATATCATCGTTGTTCAGAACACATGCCGACTTTTCAGGACGTAAATGTGTTTTTAAGTCCGATTCCTGTTTATCAGATGCTTTGAAAAACAGGTGAGACTTGAACGTTGTCATGCAATGCGGTTGTGGCAAAGTTTCAACCGCTTTGTGATCGCTAAGATTTGCGGATGTATGAGACTGACGTGGAGTGGGATTTTGTGGACAAGCTTCACAATTTGAGGAACCTTGTGATGAGAAATCAGAAGGTATGTGGCTGTGTATCTGATTAGCAAAAGGTTTTTCTGGAAGTTGGAATTGATCACAAGAGTTTGAAGGCAGGAGATCAGCCATTTGTTCAGCAATCAACCGGACTCTAATTTTACCTAAAGTAAGATTAATTAGAGCGAATCATTTTTTACCAAAAGGATCCACCTGTACGGTCATTATATTCCCCATCTTTGATGTCTGGTTAAGATGTTCCACACAAGCTCTTGCACTTTTAGAGGATGTAAATACAACCTGAAAAGTTGAATAGCAAATCCAATTCTAACATACGGTTCCGATACCAAGGTGGCATTGTGATTTTGGATGATAGTAGATTTTAGCTTCTATAATCGTACCGAATTTACGACACATGTCTTCTAGGTTCTTAAATGTGATGTTATCATTAAGATTCGAGAAAGTGACCTCTTTTTCTGGTTTTTCACCCACGTAATATAAGTCAATCTGTCACATATTGCTCCTAAAGTAAATCGCGAAATACCTTGAAACTCGGGATCGGAAGATCGACAACCGCTTTTTTGCAAAAATTTCTAAAGTGCAAAGGGCGTCTGGGATCAACTACTGGATCTGGATCTGGTTCGTTTCGCTTCAAAGCATAATTATTGTTAAGATCGAGCTTACCCCCTCTACAATGCCATCAACTCGATACAAAGGAGTTCGACAAGATGGATTTAGTTCTGGGTCCCATAGCAATTTTGCAGCTGTGAAAGAGATCGGTCGAACACTGCTCATAATGGGCTGAAAAACAAAATAAAAAGTAGTAATTTAAGAAATAGAACTGTATTACTTCTGTACAGCTGGTAATTATGATGGAAAGATAATAATCGAAAACGTTCATACTCAATGTTAATCAAGAAAATGTAAAAGACATACACCCTAGCTGTAACAAAAACAAGCATGTGCCAAAGATTTCAAGTTCCTAAAAACCCCATTCCAAGCAAAAGCCAAACGAACCGTGAAGAGAACAGTAATAAAACACCTGAGACTAAAATTATGATTCATGAATACATCTACAGCATATTGACTAATTTTTCGTTGTGGCACCGAGCTTCCGATATATCGAACTGTTTTGAGGATACCGCTAAAATGCCTAACTTACATATGCAAATCTAAACCCACTTAATTTAAGGCATGATGAAACGACGAGACACTAATGTTATAACTCTGGTTACTTGAAGATAGAAATAAGTCACTCTAAAATTAGACAACTTCGAATATCATTTAGGGATTACAATGGTAAAACCTGAGTAGAGTTCTACATTCATCAATTTAGTTGTTCACTAATGCTGAACATGAAGAAGTCGTACAAAAGTCGACGGGTATGGTTTGATAACCTTCGGATTCCAAAGAGTAAACTCAGTTTTATGCAGAAGACACAAACTTGTTACGAGCCACACACACGGGTCAATGTTTATACAAATGCCAACATAAAACTAAACCTCATTAAAATTTAGGAACACTTTGAAATTAAAGTTCGTAGTTTTCATACATTCATATGGGTATACTTACAAGCAGACGACCTCTTTCAAAATGTGGTTCAAAGGTCCATAGATTACCATCTAACCAACAAAAACAAAATATACAGATTCCGTAGTCAAAACGAATAACGCGCACTGAGGGGTCAACCAAATTCAGCGGCAAATGTCCAAAATTTAGTAAACACACTGAAAATTTTGCCTTGTTTAGAGATAACAAATTATGACCTCTATTTAAAAGATCAAATCGAAAGGAGGTCTTTCAGTACTTGCCATCACTTGTTCCTCACCGCTCAATTTTTGCACACCATTTACATAGCCTTCTCATGTTAACGATCTAGTCTCAGTCATTTTCATGCAAAATGCTTCGAAGTTTGTTCAGACCACAACGATCCCTTATTTTAAGACAGATTACTGTTCTTCAAATAGTGCGAATGTTTCTGAACGAAATAGATCTTTACATAACGGGCTTTCGTGTCTAGAAACGGTGGATCACCGATGCCGTTAGAAAGGAATTAAGTTATATCTAGTGGTAGAAAAACAATTATCAAAACGTTCTGGTGAGAGACTGTCCTCAGTTCCTAAGTAAATATCAAGTTTTATTTTAAAGGGTTTCTGGGAAGTCGCTAGTACTAGATAAGCCGGCAGCGTAATTCAGAATTCGACAGGCTATAAGGTGTAAAAGATATGCCTATGGTCCCTACTGTCATATCGCGTCCGTGTTTTTTAAATGGTAACACCAAGGTTTGCGTTGAGACCGAGTTTAAGTATATATTTAAAGGAAAACCTAGAAATGTTTGGAGTGCTGAAAGTCATTAAAATGTCACCCTTTTTCTCAGGGTTTTACTCTGAGTCCCCGAACTGATTTCGTGGCTCTCCGTTTGAGTACATTCCAGTGTGCCGTCGAAATGGCCAACAATGTGCCTAAACGCTTTCCAGATGTTACTTACTTACGCCTGTTACTCCCAATGGAGCATAGGCCGCTGACCAGCATTCTCCAACCCACTCTATCCTGGGCCTTCTTTTCTAGTTCCATCCAATTCTTGTTCATTTTTCTCATGTCTATCACCATTTCCCGGCGTAATGTGTTCTTTGGTCTTCCTCTTTTCCTTTGACCTTCAGGATTCCATGTGAGGGCTTGCCCTGTGACGCAGTTGGGTGCTTTCCTCAATGTGTGTCCTATCCACTTCCAGCGCTTCTTCCTGATTTCTTCCTCCGCTGGGATCTGGTTTGTTCTCTCCCACAGTACGTTGTTGCTAATAGTGTCCGGCCAACGGATCTGAAGTATTTTGCGTAGACAATTGTTAATAAACACCTGTATTTTCTGGATGATGGCTTTCGTAGTTCTTTAGGTATCCGCCCCATACAGTAGAACTGTCTTGACATTTGTTTTGAAAATCCTTACTTTGGTGTTGGTTGACAGTCGCTTTGAGTTCCAGATGTTCCTCAGTTGTAAATATGCTGCTCTTGCTTTGCCGATCCGCGCCTTCACATCTGCATCAGATCCACCGTGTTCATCAATGATGCTGCCCAAATACGTAAAGGTTTTGACATCTTCCAAATCTTCTCCGTCAATTGTGATTGGATTGGTGCATTCTGTGTTGTATCGGAGAATCCTGCTTTTTCCTTTGTGTATATTGAGGCCTATTGCTGCTGAGGCTGCTGCCACACTGTTCGTCTTCTCCTGCATCTGTTGTTGCGTTTGGGATAGAAGGGCCAGATCATCTGCGAAGTCTAGATCATCCAACTGCATCTTAGATGTCCATTGTATCCCGCGCTTTCCTTCGGACGTTGACGTTTTCATGATCCAGTCGATCACCAGGAGAAAGAGAAAGGGTGAGAGTAAGCAACCTTGCCTAACACCGGTCTTCACTTTGAACGACTTTGTCAACTGTCCTCCATGCACGATTTTGCAGTGTAATCCATCATATGAGTTCTGTATGATATTGACTATCTTCTGAGGCACGCCGTAGTGTCGAAGAAGTTTCCATAGTGTTGTTCTGTCCACGCTATCAAATGCTTTCTAGTAGTCAATGAAGTTGATGTAGGGTGATGAATCCCATTCAATTGATTGTTCCACAATGATCCGTAGAGTTGCGATTTGGTCTGTACATGATCTATCCTTAAGAACTCCTGCCTGTTGGTCACGAAGTTGGGCGTCTACACAGTCCTTCATCCTGTTTAACAAAACCTTGTTGAAGACTTTTCCCGGTATTGAGAGAAGAGTGATGCCCCTGTAGTTATCACACTTGCTGAGATCGCCTTTCTTCGGTATTTTGATCAGTAGTCCTTCTTTCCAGTCTGTTGGTACTTGTTCCTCATCCCAAATCTTATTGAAGAGAATGTGGAGTATCCGTGCAGTTGCTGCTACGTCTGCTTTTAGTGCCTCTGCTGGGATGTTGTCAGGTCCTGCTGCTTTGCCACTCTTGATTTGTCTGATGGCCATGCTGATCTCTTCAATTGTTGGTCGGCCAACATTGATTGGGAGGTCCGTGGGTGCTGCTTCGATGTTGGGTGGGTTCAGTGGAGCTGGTCGATTCAACAGTTCTTTGAAATGTTCTACCCACCTGTTTTGTTGCTCTTCAATGTTGGTGATTACCTTGCCTTCCTTGCTTTTCACTGGTCGTTCTGGTTTGTGGCGATTTCCAGAGAGTTTCTTTGTCGTGTCATACAATTGTCTCATGTTTCCTTCTCTTGCAGCCTTTTTCGCCGTCACTGCTAAATTTTCCACATACTTACGTTTGTCAGTTCTGATGCTCCTTCTCACGTGATTGTTTACTTCTGTGTATTCGGCTGGTGCCTTGGCTTTTTCTGCTCTTGTTCGGCTGGTATTGATTGCTGCCTTCTTGTTCCTCCTTTCTTGAATCTTACCCAATGTATCAGCAGTGATCCATTCCTTGTGATGGTGCTTCTTGTGACCCAGGACCTCATAACATGTTGAAGTGATTGCCTCTTTGATCCCCTTCCAGTTGCTCTCCACAGTAGTTCCTTCTCCATTGAGTAGATCATGAAAGGCCTGGAACTTGTTGCTGAGGACTATCTTGAATTTGTTGAGTTTGTTAGTATCCTGGAGAAAGGCCGTATTGAACATTTGTGATATTGTCCGCCCCGTTGTCCAGTGCTTCTTGAGTTTCAATGTCATCTTGGCGACCAGTAAGTGATGATCTGATGCTATATCAGCTCCTCTCTTGGTTCTCACGTCCTCTATAGTCCTCCTGAACGTTTTGTTGATGCAAATATGGTCGATTTGGTTTTGTGTAGTGTGATCCGGTGAAGTCCATGTGGTTTTGTGTATGCGTTTATGTGGGAATATGGTGCCGCCTATGACCAGCTTATTGAAGGCACATAGGTTTGCGAATCTCTCACCATTTTCGTTCCTTTCTCCCAGTCCGTGTCGTCCCATGATGTCTTCATATCCGGTGTTGTCCGTTCCAACCTTGGCGTTGAAATCTCCCATCAGAATGGTCAGGTCCTTTGTTGGGCACTTCTCGACGATTGACTGCAGCCTATTGTAGAATTGATCTTTAGCGTCTTCATTGTAGTCGTTGGTAGGCGCATAGCATTGGATGATGTTCATTGAAATGCCCTCTTTCTTTGTTTTAAACGAGGCTTTGATGATCCTTGGTCCATGAGATTCCCATCCTATAAGTGCATTTTGCGCTTGTTTGGACAACATCAACGCAACTCCTTGTGTATGTGGTGCATTTTCTTCTTCATGGCCGGAGTATAACAGGAGCTCTCCTGTAGTTAGTCGTTGTTGTCCAACTTGTGTCCAATGTGTTTCACTGATCCCAAGTACCTCTAGGTTGTATCTTCTCATTTCTGCAGCAATCTGGAAGGCTCTTCCAGTGTCCCACATTGTACGAACATTCCACGTACCTAAATAAATGGTCGCTCTGGTTGTCAGAAGGGGCATCGGCCTCGTAACTTCCGAAGGGTTTCGGCTTTCATTATGAGGCGTCATAATTCTTCTAAATGAAGATCTTCTGACTCCCAGGGCAGAGTTTAAAAGGTTTGAATAATTTTTTCTGGTTAGCGTTTTTTTAGCGAGTTAGTTTTCTACGGGATGGGGACGCTAACCCCATGCCCAACCCTCCTCCTTTATCCGGGCTTGGGACCGGCAGTAGCCCCCGGAGGGACTCCAGGCGGAGTTTTTCCAGATGTACAACCATCATAAATGATTCAAGGCTGTGATGAGAGTGGGGAATTCTTAATTTAAATAATAGATAACAATAGAGAAAGTTCGAGATTCGAATGTTCCAATTTACTGGACAATTTCTGAAGTCCAAATTGTTTTCAACAGATACCAGCCATCTGAATGCAGTACATAGATTTTAAGATAACATCTAATGTACATGACGTTACATAGATCTCGCAGTCTATTCGAGAGGATGTTCTTACACCCTTCAGAGCCATTAGTTGAATGTGTATCTTGATGTCTTTTTCTTGGCCTACGAAAATCTACAAATTATGACAGTTGTTTGTTATCACGTCTGTTTGGTGGATATACTCAGATCATTCAGTATGAATTTACTCGCCTATTTTTGAACAATCTAAACCATAATTTACTTGAAAACAATAATTTACAATTGCCAAGTTTCGAAAACCTCTGATAGTTTATTTGGATCTTGATGAACCTCTGTAACGTCCTTCCCGCCTGCTATCACTTTATGTATCATGACCTATTAGCTATGGATTAATATCTGGCGGTATTAGAAGATCAAAGAAGTCATCAACGCTAGAAGTCAATAACTCTGCACCTAAGACTGTGCCCTATGTAACTTCGCCAAGCACTGTATTAGAGCTAGAAATTTTTGACGCTAAATTCCGTTGTGTACTCATACTTAACCACGTGTAAATTTCCATCGGCATCGTGTCACACGTGCCCCCAGTGTTGCTATAGTCTGGACGCTAATTGAAACTAAAAAATTTGTTGAGTCTTATTGAAGAAAAATATAAAATGTACTTGCTTATTAAAACTTACCAGCAGTGGTACAACTAGGCACCAAAAAATGTGGTAGTTTCAAGTATAATGTCTTTACTGGGAGGTATAATGTAAGCTTCATAAATTTGTCACTGACTTTATAGAGTTAGAAAAATAACAGAACCCCATCGATGTTATCCGCTAAATTCATATCTGCTCAACAACACTGATAACTGGACGTTGGACAG